GGGCCCCTTCCGCCGCCTGCCTCCCGCCCCCGCAATCATCCATGGAGCCGAGGTTGTTTGGGAGTGGAGGGAATAGGCGAATTTTGAATATCTCGATTAGGAGAGCCAAATCCCTCGATCGCCAGAGGGAGCTTGTTTACTCCCTGTTATTCTTTTAACTTATCTTTCGTTTCTAAGTTTGCTAAGAATTGGAGATTCTTGGTTGAGAAGGGTATATTGGGTATCCATTTTTCCCATTTCTCTTCGTTAAATATTGTTTTGGAACGTATGTTCGATTATACGAATATGAGTTTAGTTTGAGTTTAGAGTACGATTAATCTAATACTTTTTATTCGAATATTAAATATTGAATAAGTAATTGTAATTCTTATAACGATTTTAAAAATTTTGCATGATTTCATCCTAATGTTTCGATTAATCTCAGAATAATTAAATTATTACCTACGATTAATATCAAACGATTAATGAATTATTACCAACAATTGATATTAAACGATTAGATAATAATTAACTTAATTAATTTCAACATGATTATTAAATTATTACATATGATTAAAACAATTATAATTCAATAGGTATTTCTAAACATTAATATTGAATAAGCAGTTATATATAGTCTTATTATTCCATTTTGAAATTCGATTTAATTTATATATAATATTTTAAATTTTAATATTATTTTAATTATAATTCAATAGGTATTTGTAAACATTAATATTAAATAAGCAATTATATATACTCTTATTATTTCATTTTAAAATTCGATTTAATTTATATATTTTATATTATTAAATCGAACATGTCTACTCATCATGACATTCACAGTTTTGCCATTCACAGTTTCAAGTTAACACAAATGCACACAATTTCCTAGCTCGATGGTAACTATCTGAATTCCCAAAGAGTATGAGCGAGTAGAGTATCCAAGAGTATCCACGGTCATTTAAAAATAGCTATTTATTCAAACGTTATATCGTAACCATTCGCGAATATTTCCATGTTTCTTTCATTTTACATTTATTTCCATTCATGGTTAGCGTCAAAAAAAGAAAATACAGGGGTGTGATTTTAGTGGTTAGAGCGAGTTCATAATAATCTCGAGTTCATAATTATGCGTTTGAGCAGGAGAAGAGGAGAAAGAAAATGGAAGAGAAATTTAGAGAGAAAAAGATAAAAAATGAAAATTACAGCGAATTAAAAAATATCTATGTTTATATACATGTATATATAGGGAAAGGAGGAAAAGCATCTCGAAATATCCGTCGATGTTATTCAGAATATGAATTCTGGTTTCTCGAGTAAAATTTAAGATACGAAATATAATATTCGAGATAAAAATTCGTATAAAATTTTACTTAGAAATATGGCTTTCTTATTAATAAAATCTGTCACGATGTTGCACGCAATGTGATTATTTTTTCCAATCGTGCGAAACGTGTTAATGCAGAGCTATAACGGAATATGTATTAATGCAGAACTAACGAATTGTGGGGCACAATCGTGTTACGAATTGATGTTACGTGCTTTTGCAATTCAAATCGTAGAAAATGGTGAAATTCACGTTTTTCTATCTAACCTGATAATCTAGTTTCTTTTGTCATTGCATTGCGTTTGATTTATTCGATGATATTTTTTATGTAATTCGATCAAGATATCTTCATGATATTTTATTTTAATTATTAAGTTTTTAATTATTTAAAAATTATACGATGAATTTTATTAGAATCAAATTATTTGACTTTTGTTTATTCTTTTATAGATATTTTATTTTTTAAATTTGTCTCTATGTGATCGAATATGAAAACTATGTTCTCCAAAGTTGAAATCCAAAAAACTTTTATCAATATGATATTAAATAACATTAAATTATAAAATAAAAATAAAAAACTAATATTTACAAGTTTCAAGAAAATTTCGATTAGATCCTCGTTCCTTTTTAAGCAAAAATTATTTCTGCATATGTTAGAATGAAAACAAAATTTTAAGATACATTTTTTTTTTGCGAGTAAGTTATTTCTGACGCTGATACAGCTACATTATATCTGTCTTGTAGTCGTTTCATGTTCAACCTCGCCATTGGTGGAAAGTTTACTGCCCACTGGTTTACGTGGACATGGTCACTAAATATACATGTATTTACCCTCGAGCAATAACAACATGAAGTTTGTAGCAATTTCTTCGCTCAAATTCAACGCATACCTTTGGAATACTAAAAATTAATATAATCATTATCGCAAGTAATATACGAAACGTAATTTATTCACTGGCAATGATATATAATTATATATATTATATAAACAAAATATCTTTTAATCAAAGACTATTTCATTTCATTCATAATAATTTTTTAATTTGTTTCGTTAATTGTAAATGATTATATATACTTTTTGATATAATACAAAATTTTAATAAAATTATCTATATATTATCAAATGAAATATAAATAAAATGGAATTTTGTAATATTAAAGAAATAAAAAAGAGATATGATAAATATAGAATGAATAAAAAAAATATATACATATAAATATTTCAAAAGAATGTATAAAAAATTCCTATAATATCTAAAATCATTTTCTGATGAAACGTTAATTAAATCTTTTACTTGTTTCAAAACTAATAATTACTATGGTGAACAAATTAATATGGTTACAATAATACAATATATATTTGAATACATTGATATATAATGATAAATTAATAATATAAAATTCAAATAATATAAATAGTCAATTAAAAGAAAAAACTGCTCGCAAAATCTACACAATATCTTGTATATTCGGCTCTAGCAATGATCACGTACGAATTACTACTCCGGCAGCTGTGTCCGTGAATAAAAAAAGCATTATGCACGCAGCAAATGCTATGTTGTGCAAACGAGAGCAGCGGCCGAGCAGACGAAATAGGAGTCGCGACAAACGAATGTGGGTTGCCCCTCTGAGACCTTGGCGATGGTAGAGGAGACAGAGTGAGAAGAATCGAGGAAAGAGGCTACCTTATCAGAGTCAGCCTGGAGGCTTAAACTTCGTCCGCGTGGCCGACGTCGAACCACGATGCGGCTCCATATATGGAGGGGGCCATGCTAGGGAGAGGGTGCTACAACGCTCGGGTATAAAGTTCCACGACGCTAACGACATCGCTTCACACCGCGCCAGAAAGCTTGAATCCCTTGGCTTAGTCGTTCTGTTGATGGTCGTTGCTGATAAATTGTGCGTACGATGTCTCTTAATCTTTCGTACGCCCGCTCAATTCGAAGAATTTAAGCTCTGTCGAAATTTTAATACGACATTCCGAATATACATCATGAAAATATAAATTTCCAGTAATTGAAAAGTTTGAATAATATTATTTTATTATTATATTTCATTTTCAAACAAAAAAAAAATTTTTTATCCGACTCAATAATGAAAGTTCCATAATAAATTTAAAAAAAGTTCCATAATAGATTTAATTTCATTTAAAAATTAATTTCATTCATTCATAAATTAAATTCGTTATGATTTATCTCTGTACGTATTTGCTAACATACTGAACATTATTAATCATAAGATGTGTCAATTTTTTTCCAATAAAACTATTAAATTAAATTCTCGTAATTTTATCGATTAAATTGATTCAATGTTAATAATTTAAACATAAAATTAAACAATGATCTTGTAAGAATAGAGAATTATGTGATAATTGATAATTTGATAATTTTTACTAAAATTGAAATAGATTATTTTTTATTTTATATTAAAATTATCATTGTTTTTTTTTAACGTTTCTGATTTATTTTAAAATGTTTTTCTGTTTTAAATGTATTATGTTGTTTTCGAAAGTGAATGTAACATAATTCACTAAGAATTTTGGCATCCACTAGAATTTATGCAATGTTAAAAAAATTTCAAATAATTTTGAAGTTTAGAAATGTTTTATAAAAATGTAAATGTAGTAAACATATAATAAAAAAAAAGTATTCTACTGAAATTCGAAAATATTATTTTTGAAATTTATATTATTTCATAAAATAGATTTTATTGAGAAAGTATTAAAAACATGTTTCTTTAAATTTTCTTACTTCTTAATTTTTTATTTATAAATAAAATTTGTATATTTATAATATTTACAAATTAAAAACATTTTTACAAGAATTGTTATATGAAATATTTTGAAAACAAATATTTAATAATAGTAAATTGTTTCATAATACATTAAAATTGTATTGTTCCTAATATCTTTATAAAATACATAGATCTTAAATATTTATATTGGATACAAGTCAAAACTGCAAAATTTACAGAAAAATCTTTCAACAAGTAGTAAAATATTACATGATAATATTTTTAATGTTTCATTTATGATTTTTAGACATAAAATGAAACTTACAAAAATAAGATTAAAATATAAATTTTTAATGACGATGATGATGATGATAATGATGATGGTGATGATATTGATGATGTGTATGATGATGTGTATGTTCTTGATGATGATGATGAGACCTTATTATATTAGGTACAATTGGTTTTTTGAAAGGTCTATCTCTTCCACCAAATCTAAGTTGACCCGATTCCTTTTTACCACCAAAACCACCACCTATAAGATTATATTTTTAATTATATTTAATTAAATTTTTAAAAATTTTAAATTTAATTAACTAACACTTATTTATAATATATATATTTATAATATAAGGTTATAAATAAATACAATATGATTAATTACCAAGTCTTCTTGGTTTCCATCCTTTCAAAGTGCGTCCACACTCATAATCTATAAAAATTTGATAACCTTTTAATGTAGCATCAACACAACGTCTAAGTACTCTTCTAGCTTCATCTTCGCTTCTCATTTCTACAAATCCATAACCTTGAGATAATCCAGTTACAATATCAATTATAACTTTTGCCGATATGACCTCTCCATATTTAGAGAAAAACTAAATCAATGTTTAAAATTATACTTAAATTATATATTTGTTATATTAATAAAAAATATTATTAATATAAAAAATTATTATTATACCTCTTTTAAATCATGTTTTGTAATTTTTGGACCAAATCTAGCAACAAATAATGTTCTTTCTGGTTTTGATTTTAAGCCATGAGGAGATTCATAATGCGCTTGTATTGCACGACTAATAGCTTTATCATGTGGTTCTGTATCTGTACCATCAATACTACCTGCTTTTAAGGGATCATATTCTTTGGCAAATGGACTCCAATTTTGTAATGTATTCGCCTAAAATACATATATATAACATTTTAAAAAGTATTAATAATTTAAAATAAAGAATATTTATGTATTTCAAAACATAACCTTCAAAATTGTATAAATACTTCATACAATATTTCAATATAAAATTAATATTTTAGTTTTTAATAACAAAAATGATTTATTTTTTTATTATAAAATATTATTTACTTACCATTTTTATAGACAAATTACAATAAATATTGACAACAACTATTTAAATTAGAATAAAGATTAGTACTGTCAAATTATATAGTTCAATATATATTTCATATATATATAATTATATTCAATATATATTATATTTTTAATTTCTATTTATAATTATTAATATTTTCTAAAAATGTTTGTTTAGAAAAATACAATATAACTTATATACAAAGACAAAAATATCGAATAACAATATAACATAACAGTATACTATTACCATAGACAAGATAATAGAATAGATTTGACATCTTATATTTGATTTTCTTTTATGTTCTGAAATATCAATTGTAAAAATATTAGAAAATTTATAATAATGTTTAACATATCTTATTTTATACACATATTTTAGCGTAAAATACTATAAAAAAACGAAATATAATAATAAATTTAAATACAATAAATCATAAATATACAAAATTTTGTTTATATTTATAAGAATTTTTAAAAACATTTTTTAATTGTTCAAAATAAAATTGTCCAAAAATTATTAGTTTAAACCTATTTTATTAGTAGATATCTTAAAGGTATTTTAGTATCAGCAAATCAAATAAAAATAAATTTGATAATAGTTAAGACTCGTCTCAATTTAAATATTTATTATAATAAATGTTTATTTATTGTAATATGGATCATTATTATACAATGAATCAATATTATAATTATTATAAGATTAGTACAGTACTAAAATATATGACATAGAGTTTTTTGTTTATATTAATTATTTATTGTAATTTTTTGTGAAATATATTATACAATATAATAATTTTGTAATTATACATTATATATTATACATAATATAATTATTTATTAATATTATTACTATAATAATATTTTAATAATTTCTTCATTAATGTAATTTGTTTTTTAAAAATTTATTTAATTTTAAACATTTATCTAAATATATTTATACATATAAATATTCATATAAATTTTTATCATATATATTTTTAAAGTAATTTTTATATATTTTAAATAATAATTTAGGATTTTAATTTTTTACAAAGAATATAAATTAAATTCATAAAATATTTATAAATAATTATTAAGAATAGTATCTAGAATTTTCTTATAAAAATATGATAATTGTTTCTCATATTGTAAAAGTAATATATGAAACTTTTATATTTCAGAAAATATTATTATTATTTATTATTTGAAAATATTATTATTATTTCTTATCTAAATAAGTTATATTCAATACGTTATTGCGCGACATCTGTATATAATTTACATGAAGGTTGCTTTGCAGAGACATCTGACAGTACAAGTCTTCGACTTTTAGTTGGTATTCGATGAAGTTAATTCGACGTGAATAATTAAGAAAAATGAACGTTGTTGCGAAATCGACAAATTTCTTACCACTTTTAAAATCGACATCTGTCATTTCAAATGGAATGCAACCAGTAACCGGAAGGGGTATTGTAGAAAAAACAAAAATTATTACTAAATCTGACGTCAAGCGAATTCTCGTTCAAAGTTTGCATGAATCTCTTATTACAGGAGCTCTACGAGTGAGTTCAGGAATTGGAGGTTCGAAACTTTTAATTCAAAGTTATTTTATTAACTTTTGTATTTATTTCAACAAAATTCATTTCATATTTCGATTATATAATCATATGCTGTATTCAGTACTTGCATACTTACTGCTAGATTAGATTACTGTTATACCAATTGAGTTTCTAAATATTGCACAAATCTTTTTGCGTTTAGGAACTAAAAAAAAATATTTATAAACTTATATATATATATATATATATATTAACTAAATTATATATATAAACTTAATTATTTCTATTATCTTATTTCATATAGTACAGTATATATTAATTTGAAAGCAAAGATTTGATTGAATTAATTATTGCAGCCAGTTTATTAGCAACGCAGAGGAGGTTAGCACATTCTGATGTTCAATGGCCAGATTTTAGTGATTATCGTCATGAAGCTGTACAAGATCCAAGAAGTAAAAGTAAAGAAAATTCAAGTAACCGCAAATCATTTGCATATCTTATGACAGCTGGTAAATAAATCTTTTAATTCTTTTTATTTTATTTCAATTTTACAGAATAAAATTACATAGAAATATAAATTTTGATATTATTATATAGCAAGTGGAGTTACTGGTGCTTATATAGCAAAATCAGCCATATATGACTTAATAGCTACATTTAGTGCTTCAGCTGATGTACTTGCATTAGCAAAAATTGAAATAAAACTTGATGCTATTCCTGAAGGAAAAAGTGCTGTCTTTAAATGGCGAGGAAAACCTATATTTGTACGACACAGGTAAATATTACTGATTATTTTTTGTATTATTTTTTAAATGATATTTAATTGAATTAAATATAAATTTTTTTTTTATATGATAATAGGACAAAAAAAGAAATTGAAAAAGAGGCAGGAGTTGATATTAAGATTCTTAGAGATCCAGAAGTAGATTTAGATCGTGTAAAGCAGCCACAATGGCTGATTGTTTTGGGTGTATGTACACATTTAGGATGTGTTCCAATTGCAAATGCAGGTGATTTTGGTGGTTATTATTGTCCTTGCCATGGATCTCATTATGATGCCAGTGGCAGGATTAGAAAAGGACCGGCTCCATTAAATTTGGAAGTACCACCTTATGATTTTATCGATAGTAATACAGTAGTTATTGGTTAATATATTAAAATATGTAGTAAAATGATAAATGTAATTTATATCAAATTGTTTTACAAAATTCGATTTTTATTTGTAAATTTTCTCCTAAAACTATTACTGTTGAAATAAATTAAAATGAAATATAAATAAAAAATTTAAATTAATTTATATAATAGTTTTTCTATTTTTTTATTTATAATTAAAGTTTATTAATTTTATCAATTAAATATTATTATATATTATATATTACTATTATATATTATAATTACTATTATAATTTAAACTATTTTATAATTATTTTATTTTTATATCGTAAAAACATATTTTTCTTTTTTAATTAGATAAAATATTCAATACAATCACATATTTTTCAATAATTCGTTCTACTATAATTATAAGATAATGATTTATAAATAGAAAGCGTAATTAAATTTTATAATAAAAGGAGCATTTCTTATTATAAAGATCTTAAAAATCAAATAAATTTTCCCGCTTCCGCGAGACGGCGCCACTGATTCCGGACCAAATTTTCATTTTCAATGCGTGATAAGGACGTCTATGTGACCGACAATCTGGCTGCCGATTCTCTGTTTTCAGTTGCCTTCGCTGCTGGCAGCGTACGGACGAAAGAGTTAAGAGTTTTTCGCGAAAATCGGTTCTTTTACATACATTGTCATCTTCTCGCCGCTTTTGTATATGATGATCCAAAAATCCCTAATCCTACAACAAGTGATTTCGGTGACCTAGTATTTAAAATAAGAATGGAAATGTTTTGTTAAAAATGAATTTTTTTCTCGCATGGTACCGGCATTTAATGATATGTCGCGAAAGGGTTAGAATAATTTTTAACATCTCAAATTAAAAGAAAATTTGGAAAGTTAAGAAAAGGAAGAATTTACGAAAAGCAGAAAGGCGGGAAACGGATGCGTGGAAAACCGATTTTCGTAAGTTTTTATTTGATACATATATTCAATACCTTATAATTTCACTTATAAATCTTATTTTTTTTCTATATTATTATTTTAATATATGCTTGTTATTATTAGTTTTCATATCATGATATATCATGATATGAGTTATTATGATAAAAGTTTAAAATGATTATAAAAAAGAATATGAATAAAGAAAAACATGTAAAATATAAATATAATTTAAATTTTTACAATAAAATTTTTTAATTTTCATGTATTTATTTATAATATTTTAATACAAAAATTTATGTTATTTATCATTATATTATTTATTTTTATAAAATATCTATATTTTTATAATTCTTTTTAATGTTATATGAGAATATAATATAATTATTACATATCATAATATTAAAATTTGTATAACAATATTTTAGAATAAAAAATTATATTTTAATTATCACACAAACATATTTAAAATTTAAGTGACATTATAATAAAATAATGAGATTTTCCTTGAATATTTTACAACGTATTCGATAACCAATCGTTGCTTGAATGGATTTCAATATACAATTTCTCATCGCACAAATTGACCCTTACGACAACCTAGAACAATTGTTTTCGTAACCTTAACGGTGACATATGTTTGTGTTTCTGCATGTTTGGTTCCACTGAGTACGATGACTCTTGTACATTCGAATCATACTTTGCATCCTGCTAACGGTTCGAATAGGAATCTCATAGTTTTTGCGACACCATTTCTGTACCTTTCGATTCATGTAAACAAATATGAGATCGAAACGTTATTATTCTAAGATTGCTTCTGCATATTAAAATTGATTTGCTATCTTATCATATATTTACGCGTATCTATTTTTTATTAATATAAATAATTAATATACATAATAATTGATTCAACTTGATCAATAAAATTAATTTGATCAATAACTTGAAATTGAAATCTATATTATATTTGGGATTCAGTATTGAGCAAGAATTTAAATATTATTTTCAATTAGTAAAAAATATTACATTATTAAATATATTTACAGAGAAATTATTTTAAATATACATCATTAAATTAAATCTTATTTTTTCTTTGCATAATAATTCATATAATATTATACTTATATAATTTTTCAATCTCAAATTATTTCCTATAGAAATATTTCCACTTTCGATCTCTTTTCGACTATATAATTTCATTTCGAATCAGACCAACAATTATCGATATTTTATATACTATTATATAAGATTCACTTGTCTCTCTTCCTACGCACATTAAAGTACTTATTTGTTCATACTCAATGTCTTCGAAAGAGCCGTATTTTTCGTTGCCTCAGTTAATTACCCATCTCGATGACATAGGACAACCTGGTTCAACCAACAAAGGCAATAAAGTTGTTCTTGCTCGCCAGTTCCGTGCACTTTGTTATTCAACCTCGAAAAGCGGTGTCTCTCTGTGTCGATCTGGTTTATTGTTTGCAAAGCCGATGCTTACCCTCCAAGATTTTGAATACGCAACATCGTGAAGCATAGTTGCAAGTGCAAAGCCGCGTTGAGCATTTAGGACATGACGTCCCTCACCCCTATGCCTCCTTTTTTTTTTATCCTATACCTCTATATAAACTGCCGGTGTGCGCGTTCTGGCATTCTAATTCTTTATGCAGCCGGCCAAGGAAATTCATAGTAGGAATGCACGGAAGGGAGGTTGCAAAATCCAGTTCCCCCCTCTTTTTTTTTCTTTTTTTTTTTTTTTTCTTTTCCTTTCCTTCCTTCTTTAAGCTAAGTACGGGAGAAAAGGGAAAGGGAGGGGAAGGAAAGAATGAAGGAGAGAGGCCGTTTTGTGCCCTGCATTCAACTATCGGGACGCACTCGGTTGTGCGTGTGTATGCACACGTAAGTACGCCACGCAGCAAGCCACGTGTCCATGTACTGCCGGCCGGGGAAAACGCGCGAGTGCGTGCGTGCGTGCGCGCTTCCGAAAGTGAGTGGGACACGCGGGCCTTCACGCTGAAGGAGAATCAATAGATGTGCGTTGCATCTTGCCCCTCTTCCTCCCTTTTTCGGCTACCCCGCGCACACCCTTCTCTCTAACCACTGACGACTCGACCTTCGCACGAAAGCGCCCGCTTCTGGACGTACAGCTTCTGTTTTCCTGTACCTCCTTTATGTTATTTCCTCTTAAGGGATGCAATTCACCGCGTTTCTTCTTTTTTTTTTTTTCGTATTTTTAAGAAGAATTTTCTTTATTGAACGGATTCGATATATCGCTTTATCGCGGAAGAAATTTTTTTCGAGTTAATGATTATTCGATTTGAAAATCATAGATTTTTAAGATTTTATAAAAATTAACAATGAAAATATGTGTATTTTGTTTAATACAGTTTCATAATAATTAATTATGCATATATATATATGTAAGAAATTAATGTGTAAATTAGCATTTTTAAATTAGTATTAATCTAAAAAGAATATAATATTGTATCATTAATTTTTAATTCGATAAATCTTTTTTATAATTATATAAATTTTCAAATTTATTTTCACATAAAAAAATATCTTAATTTTTCGAATATAACATAAAAATTTATGTAATATTTTTTTCAAAATTATGTTTATACTTAATCATATAGAATCATATAGGAAAATTTCGATTTTAAAACTAAACAAATCGCTATAATTTTGATCAAAATTCATATCTTTAAGATGGAATCAGCTATTCATGTTGGACAATTTCCACGATTTCATCAATATCATTGATCGATTTTACACATCACTTGCCCTTCTCGTGTCTTATATACTACCCTTCTGTTATACGGTAGATCTTATCGACTTGAAACTATACACGTAAATCAAGATACAGAAGTGGATAAACAGCAATCGCTGTGTACTTTGACAAAATAGAGTGACTTCGACCCTATGCTTGGATTGTAGATTCAACGTCGACATTAGTCGGTTACATCGATTAAAAATATATGAATACCTGTTCACAGGACAATCATTTCGTACGAATAGTGAATTATTTAATCGAGAAATTGTTTAATGCTCACTTTATTTTTCTCTCTAATTCATTCTTCTATATAATATATTTTTCTCAATAATTGTTATATAGAAAAATTTTTATTTATGTTAATATTCATAAAAAAACACAATTTATTTTTTAGCATAATTTATTATAACATGATACATTCTGTACGTACACAAATCGATTAAATCATTTAATGTTATTTATTCAATACAATTATTACACAGTATATTTGATTAGTTTGAATTTATGTACCTAATTATTTTTTCCAATTAACCTTTAAAGGTTATCATAAATGAAACTTAATTCCAAGCAAATATTTTCATAGAACTTTTTTCGATGACAGTTTTTAAGAATTAATAAAAGTGTAAAAAAATGTTAATTCATAGAAAAAATTATTTAAAAAAAAGGCAAATTTATGATTGAAATTAAAAATTATCTATTTGTTGGAATTATGTATCAAATGATAAAAATTGATTTATCTAATATGTAGTAACAATCTAAAACATGATATAAAAAAAGAATTGATTGACAAGATTTTTTTCACTTCGCTCGCGTTTTCCTGCAATTGAATGCATCGCAGAACGCATAATAACGCACGTGTAACAACGTATCCCGCGTATTTATTGATCTATCTCCTCGCGTTTATCTGTATACCGCAGCCTTCAAGTTCGGAGGGTTGCACAGGGTGCAACCTTTCACGCGAGTGTATACATATATATATATATATATATGCACGGAAGGCCAGCAACAGGGTTACTACGCCAACCTCACAACGGTTGGCGCGAATCTCCTAGACGAAACTAGTTTACGAACTAGCTTCGCCCATTTCACGTTACGTTTAATCTTCTTCTTTCACCGTTCTCAACATGCAACCAACTCCTTTCAACTCTCTACTTTAAAAAAAAAAAAAAAAAAAAAAACAAACAGACTTAGAAAAAGTAATTATCTTTCAACGTGAAATCATCGAAAGTGCAAGAAGGAATCGACCTGTTAAAAGTTGCATCCCGCAACAAGAAAAGGGAAAAGTGGATGGAAAGTCGTTCGAAAGGAGATCGAAGCAGAGGGCCGTGAAAAAAGCGGTGAAAGCGAGCGCGTGTAATCGTAATACGCGCGCGAAGCGTATTTGAGAAACGAAGAAAGCTCGGGGGAAGGGAGGGTGAATGGGTTAGACGAAGGAGAGAGAGAGAGAGGGAGGGAGGGAGAAGTGGAGAGTAGAGGGCACAGGTGAAAGTGAAGCGAAGGTGGTCGAGTTAGAGCGGTGTTTGGGAGGGTGAAAGGAGGTTAATGATTAGTTCTTCCGAGGTNCATCCTTGGCCAGGGATGAAAAATATATAACGGGGAGGGGGGATCGCGGTATGCGAAACATTACCTTAATTATCGAACGATTCCAGCTATGCGAGTTGTGTGGGGGGAGGGGAGGGGGGAGCGAAATAGGGGATCGCGATGCGTCGCGTTTCATACGGCTGTTCCGTTGAATTTTTATTTTTTGGAGAATGAATCGAGGGGGTTGGGTTGTATCGATATTTTCATTTTTGGGTTGATTTCGTTCTCGTTTAATGCATTGGAATGTTTATACCTTTCTACGAAAGATATTTAACAAAATTACGATGAATCGTTGAACGAATGATTCGTTTATGTTTAAAATTTATTATCGTATTTTTGATGTCAGATATAACTTATTTCTTTTTTCGTGGATAATACATTTTTATACGATTGGAAAATTAAATTTTTATAAACATTAAAAAAATGGAGTTTAAGATTTATCTTATTCTTCGTGAAATCGTAAAATTATACTTTATAATTTAAATAATTAATAATTTAAGATTTATATAATAATTTTGATTCTTTTGTAATTTGTATATTATACAAAATATCACAAAAGAATATGACGAATTAGGAAATCTTTAATTTCGTAAAATTATACTTTATAATTTAAATAATTAATAATTTAAGATTTTGATTCTTTTGTAATTTGTATATTTTACAAAATATCACAAAA